GTGGGTGTGGGTTTAAATAAATAGCTTTAACCTTTAGCTTACTGATGGAACTGAAAATAGATACAGGGTTGGGCACATAGGAAGAAATGTGCCATTGCTGCCAGCATTACTTTGAATAAGTAGATCTCTCTTCAGGGCTGTCAAACCAGCACCTTTGCCAGTAAGAAGCAATAAGATATTTTTTTCTTTTTCCTTTTCTATTTTTTAACCAGCAGCCAAGTCTAAAAGAAGCTCTTACTCTTTTTTTCCTTTGGTGGTTTTGTATTCCCAGGCTTTCACTTAGCAATTTTCTTATATCACCTAGACTTTTAATAACATTCATAGATCCTTGTGGCTATTAATTTGCCCAGTTAAACCTATGTGGAGACTTTCCCAAACCAGTTATGTCCTAAAGGGAGGAATTAGAGCATGTGTTGATCTTGCTCCATGTTTGCTGTGTTGCAGCCAGGAACTCTGTGAACTGCTTTTCCCCCACCTATTATTTGTGGCTTAAGAAATAGAGAACAGCTCATGGAATTATTTGCTTGGTTTAGAGGCCAAAAAGTGGTGGACCTGCTCTAGTTTAATAGTAGTCCTCTCTAGGCTGAGCTCTGTCCCTGCTCCCAGGCAGTAGTTGTGGAATAGGTATGAACTCCTGTACTTCGGATCTTCAGGAGGACAGCAGAATTATGAGCAGAACTTATCTACAAACATGTATCTGGTGAAGAAATATGAACTTTATTTTTATTTTAAGCTCATACCAATATAAAAATCTGATCCAGAGTATTATAATGTGGCAGCTACTCAGTCATTCACAAAGAGTTGATTTAAAGTCAGAATTTGCAGGCAGTTGGTGGGAGGGAAGGAGCAAGTTGTTGCTTTATCTGAGAGGACTGAAAAACGTTTTTGAAACTCAAATGAAATAAAGAAACCCACAAAACAAATGTAACAGAATAACTTTCTTATCCAAGCTGATGGGTGGTATTTTGGCACTAAATAGCAGCATTGTAAATGTTTGCTGCTGAATCCTACAGCCCTAACCCAGTCAAGCAGCTGAGTGCCCTTGCTCTTCCAAGCTGCAGCTGCATTTTCTTTTCAAAGGTCAGTGGCATTAACAGCAGTGCAGGTCTCCCAGCCTCTGTTGAAGCTCAGCAGCGTGGGAATTGCCTCAGTAAATAAGGTGCTGATAAAGAACTACCAACTTTAGATCTTGTAAAGGCAGCGAGGTTTCTTGGAGGAGTGCAAAGCTATTTTCAGCTGCTGATTTGCTCGCGGAGCATAAATGTAGGCATGATGAAATACGCAGATAATGTTTCATAGTAACCATCTGATAGCTAATAATGGTGAAGAAAAATAGAGTCGTAAGTTTGGCGTGGGCTGCAGTTTTAGTACCATTTCCTTCTGCAGGTTGTTACTACTGCCTGTACCTGCTGAGCAGCAGATACGTAGCTGCAAAGCGTGCCAAGGGCAAATAAATTAATTTTCACTTTTTATGCTTGAGCAGGTTGCTGCCCCACTACAAACAGGTTGCAGCCTTGTGTTCTGTAAAATGTACTGCAGTGTCACAGCACGGAGTTGCCACACTCTGTGGGGTGATGTGGGGTATACATTTCCATAATAAAACACCTTAAATTTGCCTGTGCAAAACAGATTTGGAGTGATTGGCTAATTTTGCAAGGAGCCTCTTTCAGAAGAGCACAACAGTTTGTCATGGGGTTGGAATTTCATGTTTTTTGGCTTTGGGATGAGTTGCCAAGGCTGGGGGAAAAACTGTGGCAAGGTGTCACCAAGGACAAAAGCTCAAGAGCTGAAGTGCAGAGAGTTGGGCTGGATTTCACAGCAGTGAAACCATTCAACATCAATGGTAAGGAGTGAAAGGGAGATTCTTGAGAGAGGTAGAGAAATTCTTCCTTTTCAGGTTATCTGCCTATTCTCTGGTGAATCAAGATGAGGATGAAACCAGCCCAGGTGGTTTAGTTGTTGTGTGTTTGCAAAGGTTTCACAAACCCTTCCCTGAAGCATTTGCATTTGCAGCTGTCTGATTCGGCTTTATGGTCTAAACAGAGCACTTGTCTGGTCTGCTATGGCAAATTTCAAATTCTGAATATCATACAGAATAATCCATAAGTAAACAGTAATATTCTCTGTAAGGCGTTCAGCTTCCAGGCCTGGACATTTTCATGGTTTTACGTGCATCCCTTTGAAACTTCTGTTCTAATCAGTGGGGTATTCAAGGATCTGTGCAGCTGAGGAATGCTGGTCACTGTGAGCACTGAAAGCCAGTTGTTGTATTACCTTCATCTGCAGTTCTTGCATGAAGAATGGTCAGTGTTCTCTTCCCCCATGACAGCAGTATTGCCCATGCCCCTAGAGCTGTGTGCTGTGAGGAGCTGCAGGGAGTGTCCATGGCTGTGTGCACAGAGGGAGCAGGGCAGCCTGGCTGATGCCAAACATTTCGGGTTACCTGTGCAGAATGTAAAGGCAGGTGTCTGTGAGTGCAGCTGGAATGAGTTAGCACAAGCAGCAGAAAAAGTGAAAGTTGCAGAATGCCCTTGGGGGAGTGGAGCACCCTGCAGTGACAAAACCTGTCCTGGCTACAGCACCTGATGTGCAGGAATCAGCAGCAGCTTGCCCTCTGACACTGGGTTGGGATGGCAGGGGTGAGTCTGCTTATTCATGTAACAATTTCTGTCAAGTAGGCACTTCCTTGTTCGTTCCTTTTGATCCTTTTTTACATACCCTAATTATGGATACAGTCTTGACAAAGATGATAAAGGGCCTCAGGGGTTATAAAACAGGAGGCAAGGTTAAGAAAATTATGTTTATATTCATTAGAATAGAAGAGATTAAGAGGGGTCGTGACCAAGGTGTACAAAATCCAAAAAGTATTGAAGAAAAAATGATGCCACCAGAATATTTAAAAGGGAAGCTGTGAAGACAGGGGTAAGTGGAGAGCAGCTAGCATTTTGATTGGAATTGGTTGTGGGACATTTTTTCTAGGGTGTTGCTCTTGGTGAGGAAAATTAACTTGTGCTGATCAGTGGGCTGTAGGCAGACAATTTAGAACACAGATATGTTTTTGGCCAGAATTATAGGACACATCATGTAACTTCTTTTTGAAGTCTGAATGGATTGGGTTTGGGCAGAGAGAAATGGATTAACAAAGAGATTCACCTTTTGAGCTTGTTTGGAATAATGAGCTGGGGTGCCAGGTGTTGGAAGAGTGGAAGTCCCATGTTTTCACATTGAAAATGCTTGGTGCAAACTTGTTAACTAAAGCAGTGCTGTGGAATAGAGGCTTTTGTGGGCTCCATGCACAAAGATAATTTTGGGGGAGTAGCACAGCAAAGAAAGCTTTTTTCAGTATTGTGTACTGGTACAAATGGGACCAAGCAAAGATGTGTGGCCAAGAACACCACCAGCCACATAGGCTAAAATGAGAAGGACATAGAGGCAAAATCAGTTATGCTATAAATGACTTTAAATGATTTAAATAATAATAAAATGACTTAAGACATACTGGAAGTAAGAGGAAGGCAGAAGTCCATCAGGAAGAAAGGGAAGCAGATAAATGGACTAGAGGAGAAGACAGAAATACAAAATGCCATTATTTTGCAGTGCTCTTCACAGAAAGGTTAATAACTGTGTCAGATCTGTAACAGTGTTTCCTGTAAAAGGGCTTACGAGCAAAGGCAAGAACAAGATAAGGAGTATTTAGGTAACTGTGATATATTTGGGTCAATGTGGCCTTATGAAATGTACCCACTAAATTATTTACAACTCTCAGAAGCTTATGGAGAATAGGGGGATTGTCAGAATTCTGGAGGAAGGCAAACGTAGTACCTGTCATTGCAGAGGACACTACAAGGGAAACAGAGATTTGTAAATACCAAAGAAGATACAGAGCAAATTACCTGTGAGCACATACCTGTGAGCAGCACGTTGTAACTGATATGCTTCAAGCCCAAACTAATCTGATTTCTTTTTCTGATTCTGTGACTAATACCCAAGAGAGGAAGAAAGCAAAAGCACTTTGTAGCCAGGACTGTGATGCTCACCTCAGCATCACATTCTCATACCTGAGAGAAAGCTTAGACTTGTGACTGTCGAAGTTCTTGATCAGTGGATCACTAAATTTCTTTTAGCAGAGCTCCATATGCCCAGGTAGCAAGGATTTCACTGTGCAACAGCTACCACTGGCTTAACAAAGTCTTAAAAGAACTATATTAATGTTTAACTCAGATGTTATTGGACATTTTAGCCATGGGGTGTGAGCAGTGTCTGCCTTAATACTGATCAGTGTTTGAATGCTGGACCAAAAAGTACAATTCTCAAGTGGGGGCGAGCCCCAGTCATTAAAGATGAAGCCCAGTTGCACAAATGGAATTGTTGTATAGGGACCACTGCTTCAGGTGGCTCAGGGGATGTCACAGTGGACCCTGAGCTGAGGGGTGGCTGCTGTCACACGGTGTTCCCTACAGGTGTGACAGCTTTAGAGGGAAGCAGCAAAGCCAGATCTAGTACTTCTGTTATTAATCTGGGTTCTACTGTACTGAGAAAATGCTGCAACTTTACGTGGAGAAGTGCTGGCACATTCAGGACTATTGCAGAGCAGCTTCTTAAAACTTGAGTCATGGCCTCTTGTTACCAGACTCCAAACAGGTAGACAGTTGCCTTCATAACAGAAGCAAAATTTCACAGTCTGTGTGACATGGAGCAATTAATGCACTGGTAAATCCAGTTACAGTCCTGATTTAGAAAAACACTGAAGCATCTGCTTAAGTTTTTTTCTGACAGGTTTTAACAGGTGCTAAAAGCTCTGCCCTGAATGAATTACTTTGCTGAATTGAGACCCAATCAAGCATATGCTTGTGTTAGGAAAAGGATATATACAGTGCTTAAGTTCTCTGAAGAGGGGAGGAATATACATTAGGATATTTTTAAATGTCTATTTTTATATATGCTTTCTCTCTGTGGAAATTGCATAGACTGCAGTATCATCCTCTTTGCTCTCTCTCCAGCATCCCTTTCCCCAGTGCATTTACTATGAAAGAGCTTTGCCGTGGGCCATAGCCTGTATTGCAGGGGAGTATCACATACTGAAAACTTACCTAACATCCTGCAGAAATGTGATGAGTGGGTGGAGGATGGGGAGCTAGAGGTAAGCCTTGAAAAAGTTTTCCTAAAGATTATTCTTTTTAAACACTCCTCTGGCTTTTGCATAAAGATGCAGAGTAGGCATTCCAGCAGCTTAGATGAGCCCTGGATTTATGCTCTGTAATAAATGTATCCATAGGGTGCTGTGTTGTTGTAATGATAGCAAATGACAGTAAAATTAGCAGAATTAATAATGACCCAGCTGGAATAATTTAGCACTGTGATAAGTAAACTCTAACCTAATACTCAGCATACTGGCAGAACTATTTACAAAGCACATTCAATGGAGGAGTCTGGGGGGAATCCTCTACAGAAAACAAAGTGAAACCCTAATCACAAACAAATGCCATAGCATGTCATTAAGAGGATTAAGTGACTTGAAATTGATGTCTAAGGCATTTTGGTTGATTGTTGCTAAAAATGCCACATGCTTGACAATTATCTTCTGTTTGCCATCCTCTCTGCTGCTAGTAGTCTGTCATGCAGTATTATCCTTGTTTACCACCCCTGCCTCGTACCAGGTCTTTATCTGCGAGGTTTGCAGCTTCGTGCCAGGACTGATCTGGAATTCACAGTCTGATGTGTTGGCACTGCTTGGTGCCAGGCCATTAATACCTTGATAGCAAGGGAAAGGCCAGGTTCAGCAAACACTGGGCTGAAACCAAAGTGGAACAGCACAAAACTTCTGGAGTTAGCTTTTTTAAATAAAAATGCTTGGGTTTTAGTTTGAAATGCTGTATTTTCCCTAAGAAATATTTGTTACATTAGAGTTAACAAAGTTCTTTAAAAAAATTTAAATTTCTGTGAAGGAAGCATTTTATAAATAAACCAGTTTTATATAGACTTGATCTCATAATAACTTTCTGAATAATTAGTATTTCTGAAACTTTGACCTTTGGTCTAACTAACAAATCTTTAAAGTTAGAAAAATTTCTTACTCTGCCTTCCTTAGTGATTCTGAGCTATTTTGCCTCACTGGTCTGTGCTTTGCTGAGAGGAAGAAGCTGCAGATGTATTCAGGCGAGTCAGATATTTCTGAGGGGAAGCCTGGAAAGTAGCATCGTTGTGTGTGAGTGAGTGTCACCATATGGATCATTTCCAGTCTGCTCAGGCTGTCAGGGAAGGAAGTGTTGCACCAAACTCCCAGATACAGACAGGAGCTGTGGTTGCTTCCATGGCTGTCGGGTGTGTGTGAGCTGATTGCAGCCCTGAGCAGAGCAGGGAAAGCTCCAGCTCGGATGGAAATCCCAGAATTAGTGGGGAGCCTTGCACCCTGTGCTGGTGGCCATGGGAATTGTGCACGTGGAGCCTTCACCTGCAGCCCCTGGGATGTCCTGGATGTGGGCATGGAGCAGCTCCAGCCTGATTTAACATTCTCACTTGAAATATCACCCCATGTCATTCTGGGGGCACTGAATTATCCTGTCAAAAAACGTGTATTTAGCATCACTGGTTGCATGTGGGTGTGAGCAAATTCTTCTGGCTTTTCCACTTTCGTGTCTTGTAGCCATGCAGTGATGGGTTATACTGAGCTGTGCTGCTTTTGTAGGCAGGGAAAATTGGTACTGAGAGATGCTGGAATGTCTGCCCTGTTGCCAAGAGGATCAATGTCCTGCATAATTTGAGAAAAAACAGAAGTCTCTTGTAGTGTGAGAGTGACACATGGACAAAGAATCCTCAGGTTTTCAATTAGAAGTTTTGGGGCTTGATTTTTCTTTCCCCTGTATCAGTTTTATAATAATAATAATACCAACAACAACTATATTAATAAAAATAATTGTCCTGAATCCAGCCATGTGAGATGCAGATATTTAAAGCCTCAATCCCCCAAGACTGAGGTTCAGACATTCCATGTTTCTGGGCTGCAGGCAGCTGCAGAGGAGTTGCAGGAAAAAGAAAAAAATAAGAACAGTAGAGTTTTAAATTGTGGTTCAACCCATTCCTTCTCACTTAAGAAGAGATGTCAAATCCACTGACCTACTGCCTCTCTTTCATGGATGCTTCTGCCCTTCCTTGGCAATATAATTACAGCATGGTTGGGAGTTCAGACTGTGATCTGGATGTAATCATCCTCTATTGAGGGCGCCTGAATAAATAAATATTGATTGAAATCCTAGTTACTGTCTCCATGAGAGCTGCCTCAGGGCTGGCTCTTCAGGTTAACCTGTGCCCTCTGCAGACCTCACTCAAAGAGGGTTTTTACCCACAGGGAAGATGAAAGTGGCAGAAGTCCATCCTGGCTCCTGCTGGTGGCCACGGTGCTGCAGCTCTTTACTGATCCTGCCCCTGCTGGGAAAGTCACATATTTAAGGAGCATAAGCAGGAAGGGAAGGTGTCTGCTTGGTGAGACATTGCCAAATGGAATTAGGATTTGTGTCGAGACAGCAATCAAAATTAGCCTTTCATCCTCCATCAAGGTAATATACAAATTGTTCTGTAAGCATTAGTAAGTTAATTGTATTACTTTGGGGATGCATACATAAATAAGCATTGAATATATTTGCTATCTTGCAAATGTAAATGAAGCTAAAATACCAGCAAAGGTGGAGATTCCTCACTGCTGTTTTTTCTTAACTCTCCTGTTCTGGCTGCGAGCTGTATTATTTTGGGTCACTGTTTCCTTTTTCTGTTGATTTAAGCCACTGTAATTCTACATTCAGTGAGAATTTAGATGACCAGGTGAGATGCAATCTTAATAAATTATTAAGACCAGTGGAAGTCCCTCACTGCACAAAGGCTTTTGGCTGCAGAGCAGTAAAAGAGCTTGCTCCGAGTCACAGCTGGCATATTTATAAAGGAAAAATATATTTTGAAAAAACTAAATGTAACAGAGTATAAATGAAAGAAATGTAGCTGTATATCAGAGCAATCCATTAAACACACACAACCTGCTGAGAGATGCTACAGTATCACTCACTCCTCTGTAAGTCAGTACATAAACTTGTTTTTAATTTTTTTGGCAGACTTACGAAGCCAATTATCCTGGTCATAAATATTCAGCTTTAATGGGCAAGTAAATAATTAATGTTATTGCCTTTGCAAATTTAGCTTTTCACTTATAAATTAGCATAATTAAAATAGTAATGTTTCGGTGCGCATTTTTCCAGCCAAAATCTAAATCAAGCAATTAAACTGTAGGTTTTTCACATCAAATGAGTTGAGCTTATAATGATACAAACTGTGGGCATAAATCTGCTTTTCATGGTCCGATTCATTATAGAAACATGAAGAAAAATTATTCTGCAGTAGATGTAATCAAGTATATTATTTGAAAAACCATTAATATATACTTTAACTACTTTTTGTTGTCCTTGCACAGTGAAATAGGAAGGGGAAAGCACATTTCCCATGAGTCTCTGGCCCAGCAATAATTGCCTATGTATAATTGTAATGGCCACTGTACAATGGCTGTCAGTGCATAGTGGCTGTCACATCTCTTTGGATTGACTGGAAAACCACAATGCACAGTATGGATCTGAAAGAAAAAAAAATTACTCTGTAGTCCCTAACTTTAAAAACTCCAGTCTGAGTTACACTGACTGAAATTTTGATCATACACTTTTCCTCCTATACTTTTTGTTTTATATTTTTGAGGAGTGTTTGCTATCCTCCTGTGTCACTGTTCCAGCTTAGTGAGCAATCAGAGCAGAAAAGCTTTTCTTGATAAGAGGAGATGAGTTAGTAGGAATGTGCAGATATTTCTACTCAGAATGCAGCTCAGAGCTGGTGAAATTCAGCCCTTGGGGCAGTTGATCCCCAGGAGCAGAGTGTGAGGCTGTAACTTCAAGCTGGCTCAAGGGTTCAGGAGGTTGCATCAAAATTTCTGAATTTTCTTGTGAGACACAGTGAAACTCTGTGGCTTCTGAAAATTAGAAGCTTCAGGGACATCAGACTGTAGAACTTGAGCCTTTCTCATTTTGTTTTTAAACTGGTAATGTCACAAGAGCATTTGTGTTTGTATGACTAGTGCCAGTTTTTGATTCTTAAAAACATTTTGATAGAAATGAGAAAAGCTCTGACATTCATCTATAGACAAGGACACACACAGATGAAAACTTGAAGTCTGAAAATTTGCTCAGAGAAGTCCTGAAAGCTTGTACTGAGAACCCAGAGCTGAAGACATTTCTTGTCTTGGAGTCTTCACAGATTATAATTTAACATGGGCTGCGCAGTCCATTTATAGCTCCTCAAAATGTTTCTAAGAGCAGCATTTTGCAAACTGCTAAAGGTTTGCAGATTTGTAGTTAGAAGAATTCCTCAATGCACAGACTTGCCCACATCCAGACCTGCTCATTGACACTTCTACAAGCTCTGATTTCATAGTCCTTTCGTGTCCCAGAACCCTGTGGGCAAATTTATCCCTGCAAAGGCCCACTGAAATCACTGAAGTCACACCAAGGATAAATTCAAGTCAATGAATTTCATTTTAGTGGTGTTCAAACTGTTTGCAGTGCTTTGCAATAGGTAAGCTATAGACTTTTTTTCAATATCCAATTGTTTAGTGGACTCAAAAATAAAAAACACTTTGAATTTGTGCTACTTGGTTTAAATACACGCAGAGCTGCAGGTGTGGTTTGGACAACAATATTATCTGGAGTTTTAGAAGCACTTTAAAAAGCAGAAAAGCATGCTAGCCTCTCAGGCATGATATCTGTGGGTCCATATTTCCAGTGCTATTTTAACTGGACACAATTATGTGCTGGTGTGATGAGCTGTGGGTGGGAGAGCAGCGATGCCTGCACCTGATGGCACAGGCAGTTCTCTTTTAGGCACTACTAACTCTGTGTGTCAGTGTGAACCTGTAGGAAATACAAATTTTTATGAGTGAAAAGGCCAATTTCTATCTCAAATGCTGCCCTGTTAGAAGTAGTTTTAATCTGTATTTAATTATTGTACTTGAGCCATGTCTAGATTTAGATGGGGTTGAGGTGCCCTGTATGGTTTCTTGGCCAGTGGTGGCTAAATGAGTCTTTTCATGTCAAGCCAAGCTCTGCCTGGGTTTAA